TGCTCGGGCGGCGCTGGCAGCCGAGGGTAGAGCTGGGGCCGTGGTAGCCAGCGCGGAGTCCGCGGGGCTGGGCCAGCAGGCCGGGCCCGCCTCACGGGCCGTGCGTTTGGTCACCTGCCCGGCGCAGGACGACCAGCTCTGGGGGACCGCTGTCGTTCCCCGTTCCAGCCTTCTGTGGGCCCTGAGCATCCCACCTCTCTGGGCTTGGCTGGTGGCACAGGCGTCACTGATGCTCTTCTTGTTAGATGTCAACTGCTACAAAACCCTGCGTGGACTCACTCTGCTGGATTTTACACCTGGCATCATCCGTTTAATTCAAATGGATGACTGACCGATTCGTAGCTGAATCAATAGCCGGGGGCTGTAAACTCATTTAAGTGCGTCCATGCGGTACATGGCATGGCTTTAGTATAGGGTCTATTCAATGATAAACTTTAGTTAAATCAGCGTCTCTTTCTTGTTTAGATAAAGGCTCTATTTTAATTCCCAGTGCTTATCTCATGTCCCTGGCATTGTTGTGCTCACACTTTATGATACCTTTTGTTTAAAACTGAATTAAACCCATGCAAAGTCCTGTGGAGGCACCTCGGTTTCAGTTTGAGTAACTTATTTCAGTTTAGCCTAATGCGGTTCCCAGTAAACACCCAAAAAACCTTTTGCACTGATTTACTCAAGTACATCTTAAGTTTTCACCTTTGAACTGGTGAAACTCTTCAAGTTAAACCCTCCTAATACTAGATTGCACTTGTTCCCCTTACCTCTGTATGCTTTTTGCTTCTCAGGCCTTAAATTTAGAATTTTTCACTTTTCTGCTTTTAATGGTTTTGTTATCACTGGGCACCATAGTGTAGTGTCTTTTATAGACTACTTTCCTCACAAGTAGTTCTCATGTTAAATCTTTTAAGTTAACTTCAAATTGTTATTTTTCTTTTTTGATATTGTAAAATTTTAGTTGATGCAATAAGATATTGTGCATCCTGGTCTTCTGGGAGCTTTCTCATCAGCCATTCCAGGCAATCTATAATGAGGTAGCACATCTAGTTTTTCTTTTCGCTGCCTTGCGAGTCCACCTTTCCCTGATGTCCAAGCTACTTGGTATTGGAATGTTTAGTGCTACATTTCATACTGATGCTCCGCTTATCCTTTTTATGTATGGTTCTTCATGTACTCCTTGTATTCAGTGTTGTACAGTTTTCTTGTTCATAGAAAAATGGCAATGGAAGAAAGAATAGGATGTCCTCCACGATTAAGATCCAGTTCTTTGGAAGTTTTCTTTCCCATTTTTGAGACTTTTTGTTATTGTAAATGTTACCTCACAACTCATTTTGTTGCTAGTACTATTCCAGTTATTTGTAGGTTCTCTTCTAGGGAGCTTAATATTTTGCATCTGAGATGGCCATTTGACATGGGTTTGGCTCAGTTTTTGTTTATTTTTTAGTTTGTTACTGTGCTTTTCTTTTATCTACCACTGTGGGTCAAAGGTGCTGTACAAATAAAATATTGATGGGAGCTATGTGTGCATATAAATTAGGCTTATGCTAAAAAGTGTATTTTACTTTACCTTTGCAAAAGAGATTCACACTTAAAAGTGATACCACTTGGGGGGTGGAAAATGCTAATTGTGACATTTAAATTTGAGGTCTGTCTTTTTGAGCTAACAGTTAACTTTTTAAGCCTATGATGCCAGAGCCATCCTCTCCATTTTCTTATTGTTTAAATTGACTTGTTCTCTGTTAACAGCTGCCTGTGTGCTTTAACTCCTATTTTGGATGGGATTTTCTTTTTCTTCATTGTCACCCATTGAAATTGATGAGATTTTTTTTTAGGTAAGTTAATCCATATTTCCAGTAATTCATGAAGTTATATTTGGCTCCTTCTGCATTTACTTTTAGAATGTTTGAAAAAATGTTAACAATAGAAACATGCAAATAATTCCACAGGTTTTACTCTCTTCAGATAGTTTTAACTACATACAATGAAATTCAGCTTGTTCAACTACTGTCAGTTAGGTGCAGCAAGAACAGGGGTAAGAGCAGTATGGGATGCCCAGTCTGGATTGCCTGAGTCAAGAGAAGAAAGTCAAAACAAAGACAAAATCAGTACAGTAAGAAATAATTTTAAAGAACTCCAACATTAAATAGGTCCTGAATAATTTAGGAAAATATATTGGAGGAAAATAAAATATTTCAGGTAGTGTTTGTACTTACTGTGAAAGTCTCATATTTAGTTCTAGTTTTTCACAGTTCAGGTTTACAACATCAGTAGGGAGAGACTGCATAAGCATAAAAGATGCAGTGAAATCTAGTTACATAAAAATTCTTTTAAAGAGTTCTGAATTGTTTCGTGTATTTCAGTGGACTTTCACTTTGCTTATAAGGAAATGGATTGCATTTTATCTTAAGGCTCCATTTTTATAAAGTTAATAAATTACATTTTAATAAATGGTTAATTAACATTGGGGAATGGTTCTGGATTTTTATAGTGTCCAACTGGTCAATAGATTGCTTTTAAGCAAACATTTGAAACAATTTAATGATGCACCTTTTAAATATTTGTAACATATACAGCTCATATCTTATAACCTGCTTATAACATCTATTAATCATATTTATATTCTATGGAACATATTTATATACATGAATGGGACCTTAAAATTAATCGTATCCAAGAAATGTTTGTCCTTTTCCTTTCTTTCCCCACTGCTAGCAATGCTAGTTCCTAGTATCTTTTTGATCTTTAAACTATTAGCCTCCTTTTCGACTTCTCTGTTTAGAGGTGCACCAATACATTGGTCTAATATCAGATCAGCACCAATGTATAGAAAATTGATTGTATCAGAAATCGGCCTGATGTGGCTGATAATTTGGCCGATAAATATCTGTGCGTGCGCAGCCTGTCCCATATGAGCTTCAGCACAGCACGTAGGCAGTGAACAGCACAGCCCGGTAACTTGGAGAAGAGCACAGCCTGGCAGGGGCTGGGGCAAGTGCTGCCCAGCCGGGACAGCACAGGCGGGGGATGGAGCTGTGGCATGTCCAGGGAATGTGGGGAGGGGAAGGGGTGGCTCCTGCTGCTGCATGCCCTTCATCTGGGAGGCGCTTGTCCGGTGCTCGTCCAGCAGCTCCTGCTGCTGCCACTGCTGCTCATCAGGGGTGGGGCGTGTGCCCCAAGATCTACATGGCCCGGGCCTGTGTGGGGCTCTTCCCAGCCTGCCCCACCTGCGCAGATCTGGGGACACGTTTCCTCTCTGTCCATGGAGCTAACCCCCGCCCCGCCGGACTAGCGGCAGGAGCTGCCAGGCAAGCACTGGACAAGCTGCCGGACCAGTGGCTCCTGTACAAGCAGCACACAGCAGCAGGAGCCGCCCCCCTCCCCATAGCCCCTGCCCCCCTGGACAAGCCATGGCTCCATCCCACTCCTGCCTTACCCCACCCCAGCTGGGCAGCGCTTGCCCCAGCCCCAGCTCCACTCCTTCGCTGTGGGGGGGCCTTGATCTGTGCCCCCCAACACCCCTTTCCTTTCCCCTCCCCTTCTACCACAACAGACTTACCAGCTGCATGCAGCTCTTCAAGGTGTCAGGCTAGTATAGGAAATCAGATGGGTATCAGCTGATATGCCTCCTTTAAAAGTCAGCTATTGGTATCGGCCCCAAAAAATCTCTGTCAGTGCACCCTTATTTTTAGCAGAGATGTCAGACTTACCTTGGCCCCCAGGCTGGATCTGGACTGTGGAGCTTCTCCCAAACCAGATCTGCAAGGCCAGTACTATCTGGGTGTGGGGGCAGTGCCAGGGTCTGGGTGCAAGGCTCCAGTAGGTGCAAGCTGATATCTGTGCAGGCCCTTCCCTACAACATTGGGAAGCCCACTGGTAGCTTGGTGGGTTGGACCCAGCTCAGCATCATATCTTTGACATCCCTGAGCTGCAGGAAACAGGAGACCTGAGGTTTCCAGTTTGGGGTAGGAATTTCAGACCTTATTATCACATTGCTCTTGCCAATAGCTGTCCATCTTTGTGCAGAAAGCTCAAGGCATTTAATGGAAGAGGTTGAGTAGGCATCTCAGCTTTACCAGTGTCAGGGAGCAAAGACAATAGAGATTTTCTTACATATGTGGAAGGATTGGGGGTAGGGAGAAAGGGTGTGCTGGCACGTTTCCTTGTCTTTTGTTAGAGAAGAAATATTCTGAACAAAGGAAAATTTGTTTTTGCCATACTCATGTTAGTTAAAGTGGGCTGCCAAAAATCTCCTTGCCACAGTAGTTAGTGGCCTTAATTGCTTTTGTATTTATTACCCATGGAATTCTTGCCTTCAATGGCATCATTTTAGTATTTTCAATGTTAGTTTTACACATCTAGAGATTAGGGGTGCACCAACAAAGATTTTCTTGGCTGATACCGATAGCCATTGATTAACCAACCATATTGGCTGATGCTGATCCAAAAACCGATATTTAGTAATAGTGCAAGGCATTTTAAACTACTGACATAACCCTGCTCCGGCCCTTGGTGAGGAAAGTGGTAACTGCCTTATTCTCGTGCACGTTTCCCCCTCGCCCACAGCTCCTACCTGCAGCCCGTGATGCCGTCCTGGACAGGCAGGGCAGACCTTCGTGTGGACAGCAGCACTGGGTGCATTTGGAGCCCCAGAGCATGCCGCTGCCTCAGCACTGGCAGGCCCCATACAGCTAAGCTCCCATGGCCACTGGGGAGGAGCCACTTTTGCAAAGTTGTCCAGTTCCTGGCAGAGCAGAATGTCCCTCGCATGACACCTTACCCTGCCTGCACACAGCCCAATGTCTCCGTGGCAGCCCGTACTCAGGCCCCTGCTGTGTGTGTGGTGTTGCCATCACTGCAGCAACAGCAGTAGGAGCTGGTAATGGCCCCTTTGTTGCTGAGTGCAGGGAGCACCCTGTGACTGCTTCCTGGCACCCCCTACCCCTCCCGCTGCTCACTGGGACCTGTAGTCTGCCACAGACTTGGGCCAGCAGTGGGGCACTGGGATCAGACTACGCTTGCCAGGATGCTCCAGGCACATGGTCGCAATTATTGACTACAGCGACCAAAAAAGCCAATAGGTAATAATGTTGTTTCTCCTTTTATCATTGCCGATCCGATAGCTGACCAATATATCAGTCCCATACTAGAGATTTTTCATGTGAATTGGTGGAAGTGATGGTAGACAGCTGGGCCAGTTTTACTGAGGAACATGAGCTGCCAAGTTAAAGCCTGAGAGGCTGCAAGATCAGCAACTTTCGGAAACAGGTATAGCAGCTTGCCATTTGATTACAGAGGAGGAAGTCACAAATTCCTAGATATATGTGGTTTTGGAGTGGAGATGAAGGGAATGACAAGACTGAAAGCAGCTATCTGCATAGTGCTGCTGTTCCTGAGAAGTTCTGAAGGGGAGACAGAAATTTATACCTTTCTTATTTCTGTTTAGTGGAATTTGAGGCCAGTAGATAACAATATTAAAGGGATGTTATCAGTTCATTATCTTGTGATTTTTAGCTTTTGAAAAACAGATTTTGTTTACAACATCATGAGTTCCATGCTATTTTTTGTCTTTTTTTATATAACGCTTTTCTAGTTATAAAAGTGTTTTCCCACAGCTTTTGCATATAAGAGCCAGATGAACAGAGGGAAACAAAGAAATAAAACTACAAAAAAAATTGCAGCTAACTGCACAAAATGAAAATCTCAAAGAAAAAAGAAATAAACTTCTTAATAGATTTCATTTTTAATACTTTGATGTTATAACAATGTTTGAAAATATTTTCAGATAGCAGTATAAACTTTTCAGTGGGAGTCCCTATTAAAGACACAAAGATTTGAAAACTGTTACCATTTAGTTAAATGATAAAATATTTTACTGAAAAATAAAAATATTTCGAGTGAACTAATACGACTCTGCCCTTGTTTGTATCTTTAATACTCTCCTTTATTTTTTTTGTAACTTTTTATGTAATTATGCCATTATAAACCACCAGCCTTAAGGATAATCTTCCATGTCCTGAACTTTGCACAGGTTGATGAGCTTGCCTACTAAACTCATCTGCACTCATAGTATCAAAGTGACAGATGGTCTTGTGTATCCAATCCTTGGTACAGTTATAAGCACCTTCCTCATTAAAAATATTGCTCTGATTGCCTTCATAATTGCACAGTTTGCCTCAAATAATTCATCTTGTTTTACCTACCCTGTTTCTCTGTCTAGCCTGTATTGTCACAAGCCCTACAGTACTTGAATGCTGGCCAATAAGCAGTAACATCAGTATTTTGATGGGTGGTTACTCTAAGAAAAGGTGGTACATAACTTCTTAACAAAGAAAGATGATGATTTTTGTTGTTGGCTTATTAAAGTTAGTTGTCAAAAATACCTACAGTCCTTTTGCATAGAAGAAAAGAAAGTTAACTGATATGTCAAGACTGGCTTCAGATTATGAATCCCTCTTCCTGTCCCAGAAACACAAAAGTACTAACAAAGCTTTGCTATTGTATTCATTTATAAGGAAATCACTTGATTGAAACAAGAATAGTGACTCAAACATATGTTGATATATACATATACACATTTACATGGTGAATTTATCCGAAGTAAATTTAAAAGCAAACAAAATATATAATTTTTACCTCTCTTAAATCTTGGTTTCATACATGAATAGTTTTTTGTCCCCTCACAGGATTATTTTGCTATCTGGTCTGCTGGGGAAATTTTAAATCACACAAATTGATTCATAAGACAGCAAAAGGTAATAAGGTGGTCTTAGCATTATGGCTATTCAGTACTCTTATAGAAGGAGGAAGGAAAAGCAAGCACATTCTCTTAATT